TTTATTTTAAAAGAAGTCTTGTCTCAAGTTTTTTATTTTATTTGGCTCTTTAAAAACTTGGGTAATAAAAGGTGCCTTACATCTACTTTATTATCAAAGAATTTATGGTTAAAACATTTCCCTGTTCACATGCAAAGGCTGTCTTGCTTGCGAAAGATAAGGTGTGGAGCCAAAGGGAACTTGAACACTCTACCTCAACAGGAGATGGAGAGGAACTTCTCTCTAGCCAGTTCCTTAACTTACAACGCCCTCCAGACCGTGGCACGTGCCTTAAATGCGGCCTATTCGTCCCAATCCCAGAGGACAATATTGGGGAGAAGTTCAAAAGCTTCCCATTCCATACATAAAGCTATGGGTGAAATACGTGTTGAAAATGACCAAAAATAAATAAATAAATCCTCTGAGAAAATGTCATATACACAGAGAAAATTACAGGTTATGAATCATTTTCTTCAATAAAATCCCTCGTTTTCATCCGCACTGTAAGGGTCTGTGAGAATGACCTTGGGAGACGGGAGGGGGAGCCACAGACAGGCCACCGGTGTGTAAAAGACGTCTCAGCCCACAGACGGAGAGAAGGGTTGGGAAGCGTCTCAGAAGGGACCCTCCCTAGTTTTCCAGAGTTTGAATCCAGAGAGAAGGAAACAAAAAGGGAGTACGTATCGCAGCTTAAACTAAGTAAGTTCAAAACCCTCAGACTGGAGGAAAAGGAAATAAATTCCTATTTTCTTTTTAAAGCAAGTAAGCATGATAAATTCTCATTATGAATTGAATAAATATCTGCAGATATAAGTAGCTGAATCAAGCTTGGCTCTGTGGACTTCCCAGACACAGCCATGCTGTTTTCTTGAGGACAATACAGATTTGCTTCATCATCACTTTTCCGGGATTTTTTTTTTCAATTCCCCAGTCTGATCTACCGTTCTGAGATCTCTTGGTGGTGCCCCATCCAATTATCAAGCAGGGCTGACCTTCGCTTTTTTTCAAGATTAGCCACTCAACGGTGCCACCTGCTGGCCATAAACTTGAGAGAGAAATTGAAAAATGAGAAAAGACATGCTGGATTATCGAAAACCTGCAGTGTTCACTCCTAAAGCGTTAAGTGCAGCTGCCAATATATGGTTCTAATTCTTAAGAATATGGGGAATAATCATTTTAACGCTAGTTAATTAACTGAACTTGCATTAAGCCAAATGAGGTTTTGTCTCAGCCTTGCTCATCTGGCACATGGCAGCTGGCTTGCCACGCCAAGGCCAAAACTACTTTGTATTTATATTTATAAATGTATCAATTTATCCATTGAAAAGGCTTTACCATAGATAAATAAAGGCGCCTAAGTTTAATCGTATTTTGTTTGTTCTAAAACAAGGAAACTAGACGAAAGACAGGCGAGAAACACAGAATTCTGGGAGTTGAAGTCCACACATCTGAAAGTTGCCAAGGTTGACAGGCGCTGTTCTAAAGTGACCCCCAAGAGAGGAGGGAAGGGCTGGGCGGGCCATTAAGCCATTTGCCCCCCCCCCAAATCAATGCCAGGGTTTCCCCTGTTCTTGAACCCACTCCTGCTTTTAGCCCACCAGAAACACAGCCGGAGAAAGGCGCTTCACACGAACTGAAGGGAGCCACCCACGCCACACACCTCGCCTACTCTGCCAGA